TCTCCCCACCGGCCCACGGAGGCACTATGCAGGGCCGGCGCTCGGATAGCGCTGGCCCTGCAGGGGCCGGCCGGGGAGATCCCCTGCTGGCCTCGGCCCCACGGCCATCGCGGCCCACCGGGCATTTGCCCGGTATGCCCGATGGCCAGTCCGGGCCTGCTATCAGATGTGATGCCTTGGCAGGACTAACTATAGGGAGACCTTTGGCAGCCGCCTAGGGCCCAGTGGTTAGGCAGGAGCTCCATTTAACATTACTATGTAAACAGCAAAGAGGGTAGATCCCAAAACAGAAACTTGCCTAGCCCTTTGGGTTTGTAGAAAACATCATTTGGGAGCACACTCATTGTCACGATTCGGGGAACCAAACACGCCAACACACACACACACACAAAGTGCCGTACCGGACCTTAGAGTGGCCGGGCTAAGCACACAAAGAATAGTCAGGAAACAAGCCGAGTAAGGGGAACCAGAAGACAGAATAACGTAAAACGAGCCGAGGTCAAAGGGTAGGAGAAAGTCACAGAGTCGGATAACAAGCCAGAGAGTACGTAACCAGAAGCACAAGTTCAGAATCAATACTAACAAGCAAAGACCACAACAGGGCGAAGAGGAACAGGAAAGGTGAGTATATAAATCCAAAGGTTAATTCTGATTGGATAATTTCCAATCAGAATTAACAATCACACGTGGGAGATATCTAAACCTCCCACTGTGATTGAGGCACTGTGCCTTTAACCCCGGGTCAGGTGACTGACCCCGGCGTTTGTTAAAGTGGGCGGTCTCCCAGCGTGCAGCGTCATGCATGCTGCCGCTGGGAGACACAGAGGAAGAGGCGGACGGCACCCGTGGGAGAGAGGGTGCCGCCCGCCGAGCACACGGCTGAAGGGGGACCGTGGACGGCTGGAGGGTGAGTGCCGCGAGCGGACTGCAACCTCCCCTCGCAGCCGCCCGCGGGACCCTGACACTCATTAAGGGTGGTGGTGCTAGATTCTGAAATTACCAAAGTTTATACATAATACAACAATATGACTCAACGCACACACACACACAATCTTTTTCAAGGCTATTTTAAAAAACCACCTATTTATATTCACAATATTGGGATTTAGTCATATAATATGGCCACTACATTTTACAGACTACCCTCTGGGGTCTTCTCGTTTGGCCATGCTAAGGTATCAACAGAATGCTGCACAACACTTACATTTAATTTGTATGTCTCCATGGTAGGGCATGTATATTCAATAACTCGCTAATGCCTGACACACTAGCCTTTTAGAGGCAGTTTTTATGGCATTCAGATTTTGTTTTGTGTCATGTTTTTGTAGGAGTGTGTACACTCATACTTACCCTTTCATAATATTTTATATTATGTGAAATAAAGTGTTTTTTATATAGATGCTTCACTTTCCCTTTGTGCTTTTTGCACCTTAGTTGTTTATTTAGGAAATAACCAGGATATTTTCTTCTATGGGCCGCACTGGGATATAAGGAAAGCCGGTGTGTGTGTGTGTGTGTGTGTGTGTGTGTGTGTGTGTGTGTATGACCAAAACAGTTATGGTGGGGAAAAAAAATGTGATTGAAAATCCTTTCCACCTAAAGTTTGTGAATAGTTATACAATGTTAAACAAAAATCTGCACACCAGTCAAGCCATAAGACTTGCTTTTCACTGGCTTTGTCTCTTTTCCCAAGTTGTGTTTCAAAGCTGTTGTATACAGCAAACACAGACTCAAAGGAATCTATGTTTAACCCCTTAAGACCGCAGGGCGTACAATTACGCCCTATTTTAGGCGGCTCTAAACGCCGCTGGGCGTAATTGTACGCCCTCCGGTCTTTTCTTACCGGTCTTTTCTTACCACCGGCGATCGCGGTGGGGGGGACTCCCAGGGAGCCCCCCTTGGTAGATCCTCCTCCTCCGGTGCCCCCGGCCATGTAAGAGTGAGGTCCTTGCGAGGACCCCACAATCACATGGCCGGGTAGGCTGCCTCCTGCATTGCCAGCAGGGGGGCTGCCTGTAATGACAGGTGGTCCCCCTGCTGGCTGAAAATAAAATTAAAAGAGATTAAAAAGTGTAAAAAAAAAAGTATACTTAGATCATATATATATATTATATATATATATGATCTAAGTATATATATAGACACATATACATACATACACATACACTGTCTAGGTGTATTTTACTATTAATATATATATAAAATTATATATATATATATATATATATATATATATATATATATATATATATATAATATTACACGTAGACTGATACTGATTAAATATATATATATAATTATTGTTATATATATATATATATATATATTTATATATAATATAAAAAAATTAAATATGTAAATACATTAAAAAAAATTAATTAAAAAATATATAGATGTGTGTTATTTCGTTCTAACTGTATTGTGATATTAATATATATATATTTATATCAAAATACACGTAGAACGAAATAATATATATCTACATACATAAATATATACGTATATATCACTATATATATACCTATAAATAAATAAAAATATTTTTAAAAAATTATATATATATATACACACATATAGATTCACATACGTATATATATACATATATTAATTCTACATATATATTTATGTAATATTTTTACATAATTAGGTATCTTAATTAATTACAATTAGCTGGACCTGCCTGACAACCCATGCCGAAAGTAAAGGGAATTTAATTTGCTAGCACTATATTTAACCCTATAACTTTCCAAGACACCATAAGACCTGTACATGGGGGGTACTGTTCTACTCGGGAGACTTCGCTGAACACAAATATTAGTGTTTCAAAACAGTAAAGTGTATTACAATGATGATATCGCCAGTAAAAGTGAAGTTTTTTGCCTTATTCATTCACAAACAGCACTTACACGGACGATATTATTGCTGTGATACTTTTTACTGTTTTTAAACACAAATATTTGTGTTCAGCGAAGTCTCCCGAGTACAACAGTACCCCTCATGTACAGGTTTTATGGTGTTTTGAAAAGTTACAGCGTCAAATATAAGGCTTGCGTTTCATTTTTTTCACATTAAAATTCGCCAGATTGGTTACGGTGCCTTTGAGACCATATGGTAGCCCAAGAATGAATATTACCCCTATGATGGCATACCATTTGCAATAGTAGACAACCCAAGGTATTGCAAACGGGGTATGTCCATTCTTTTTTAGTAGCCACTTAGTCACAAACACTGGCCAAACTTGGCGTTTTTTGCATTTTTCACACAAACAAATACTAACGCTAACTTTGGCTAGTGTTTGTAACCAAATGGCTACTAAAAAAGACTGGACATACCCCATTTGCAATACCTTGGGTTATCTACTTTTGCAAATGGTATGCCATTATGGGTGTAAATGTAATTCCTGGGCTACTATAAAGTCCCAAAGGCAACGTAACCAATCTGGCGAATTTCAATTTCAAATGTAACGTGGTATATTTGACCCTGTAACTTCCCAAAACGCCATAAAACCTGTACATAGGGGGTACTGTTTTACACATGAGACTTTGCTGAATACAAATATGCGTATTTTATTGCAGTAAAAGCAAACAGTATTAAGACTTAAATTAAGTACTAAAATAACGTGTTGCCAGAGCTCTTTGATAAAAGGATAGACGTGGTGGGAAAGCTAAACATAAATATGTTGTCGATATCAGTTGCAAGGAGATGAAGCAAGTTGCTCTGATCAAGGTTTGAAAGTGTCCCCATAAAGGGCATATCTTTGGGCAGGCACACCAAATATAGAGTGTTGTGCCCAGCTGATGGCATCTCCAGCAATTACGGTTAGAGGACTTACATTATTCCTATAACATCTTGCTGTCTAAACAAAATTAAGGCATGGCAAAGGAAAAAGTCTGCACCTTTTCGATGTCCACCACTGGTCTCTTCAAGAGGCGTCTCTTCAGTGGTGGGCATCGAAAAGGCGCAAATAGTTTGAGCCAAGATAGCGGCTCTAAAGTAATGAAGATAATTGGGAATGCCCATAAGTTATGGTTCTGCAATTTCTTAGGTGAGAACCTAGCTTTCTTTTTAGACCAGGTAAAACAAAGGATTTTCTGGATCTCTGAATAAAAACACAGGGGGGAGTGGAGGTGCCAACGGTGTAAAGTGATTTTGGTTTTATCATCAATTTAATCATTAGCATGTAACCCATCCATTAGATCAAGGGCGTGGATGGATTTGGTGATGCGGGCTACCAGATATACTAAAAACTCCTTTTGCTAGTCAAATGGATATAGATTCTTGAGATTGTGTGTGACGCTATTCCTATGGGGAAAGCCTGTGTTTCTGTTGTGTTGAGTTTACAGTAAGATAGTCTAGCGAAGTCTGTCAAGAGGGACATTAGGAGGGCAGAGATGTAACGGCGCTGGATAATGTTAAAAACTCCTTTTGCTAGTCAAATGGATATAGATTCTTGAGATTGTGTGTGACGCTATTCCTATGGGGAAAGCCTGTGTTTCTGTTGTGTTGAGTTTACAGTAAGATAGTCTAGCGAAGTCTGTCAAGAGGGACATTAGGAGGGCAGAGATGTAACGGCGCTGGATAATGTTAAAAATATATAATCAGCGATGTGTGCCAGGGCTTCTAATCATAGTATGAACAGAAATGGGAATTTAAAAAAAACAACATTTTGTGGTTTTTAATACATGGTACATCCAACAGCAAACTTTTAGCAATCTATCAGCTTCTGCAACACCTTCATTAGTGACAGCTCCTTTTGAAGAAGCTGTAGTCACAGACATTTGCAGAGCCAAGGTTGGCCACTACTAGCCATCTAATGCTCCTCTCGTGCTTATTGAACTACATTCTTCTGCATTCCCTTTACCATGGTATCCATGACAACCAGGAGACCTATGTGGCTAGACCCAACCCTGCCTGCAAACACTAAGCTAGGCTGCGCTCTGCACTTCAGACCCTGCTTGGAAACACAAACTTGGCCGCCGCCTCCCTATTGGCTGGCTTGTTCTAATCTGTTCTGATTGGCTAATTATACTATCCCCGCCTCCTAGGCCGGCTGCCATTGGTGGAGAGGCTCCCAGCACTTGCGGTAGCTGGTGGATGTTGTTTGCGAAGCTCCAGTCGGGCTGCGCTCTCCCTCCGTGTCCTGATGGCGGTCACCAAGCGCCTCTGGATATGTATCGCATACGCCAGCATGGGCACCCTCATCGGCCTGTCCGCCTTCTTCACCTGGAACATCGCCTTCGTGCAGCCCTGGACCGCGGCCATGGGGGGTTTATCAGGTGAGACACGTGATGGCGTGCAGCTGGGGCATGACGTCACTCACACACATGACGTCATGTTATGCTGACTGGGTGCTTTCACCAAGATGCATAATATCGTGCTCTATCATCCTTTAATGGCACATTACCTACAGGGCAAGGGAAGCCATGTCACCAAATAATAATAATAATAATAATAATGAATATTATTTACTAAACTGGGAGGATGGAAATCTATAGCAGAAATGGGAGGTGTCTCTAACCATTATTTTGCCTAAAATGAGTTTTTTTTTGTTTGTTTTTTTTATCATAATTTGCATTTTTCATGTTCTATTCCCTAATCCACGATGTAGCCAGCGATTTTTAACTCTTTGGGGACAAAGCATTCTAGCTACAGAGTAGTAATATATTTTTATTTTATTTTTTATTCAACTATTTTGGCCTAAAATGTGTATTCCATACATCCTGATTTAGTGCATAACCATGTGTTGTGGAAAGAGCACAGTCAGTATCTTATTACATTTATTTTTTTTTTTATTTTTTTTGTTAATTGCCCTTCAGGTTTTGCTCTACAAATCTTAGAGTTGTCTGCCATGGCAGATAATTATGGGAGTTTTAGTCCAACAATAAATAGTGGGCCAGCTTTAGACCACCAAGGCTTGTTTTCCGGTGATACCAAGTCCTGTGGCTGGTACTGCATTAATTCTGGGTTTTTCCTAATGATTGTTAGCCCAGCAAGACTGGCAGGGTATCATGGAAAAACATTGCTAACAGCCGACTGAACTACGAATTGTGGTTTTCCCATTTTTGATTGGTCGGGGTGAACCACCTTTGGTGCTGTGTTGGAAATCTAAGCTTTACATGAAAGATACAAATGGTAGTTGGACCTCTAATAAATGATCTGTGAGTTAATCAGTGTTTGAAATAGGACATGGACAAACAAGTTATAGTGTGGTAAATACTTGTTGAAAACATAATCTCACCATGATTGAGATAGAGATATATATTTATGTATGTGTGTGTGTGTATTTGGTCTGCCGGTTGCAGTTATAGATCCCCACACAAACTGCAGAAAGCGCCTCTGGTCTGCTGGATAGCCACTAGAGGCATTTTAAACCCTGTACGGTAAGCATTACCGTTTTTTTCTAAAACGGCAATGTTTGCGGCTGCAGGGTTAATGGGACAGTGCACCCAGACCATTTAATGAGATGGAGTGGTCTGGGTGCCTATAGTGTTCCTTTAATTGTGAAGTGCTGATAATATAGTGTAAAGCTGCGGTTCCCAAAGTTTTCAGGTCCAAGGCACCCCAAGTCAGAAAATCTAGGTTGTATATCTGTACAGCCCTGCGGCATTTACTGGCGCTATAGTGTAAAATATAGTGTTAATGTTTGAAGGGGTGCTTGTATATAGTTTTAACACACAGGTGTGTTTGAATGTAATGTTCACTTTTAAATGCGGATGTACATTTGTGTGAAGTATTTGTTTGCGTGAAGGGGTGTATTTGTATATCTTTTGGAGTTTGAATGCAGGGCTGTGTTTGTATGTAATATTTGTTAGATTGCAAGAGTGTGTTTGTATGTTGTGCTGGTGTTTGCTTGGATGAATGCACATACACTACCACATACATACGCAGATATACATGCACATTAACACACAGATACATATAAATACACCATATCTATACATTCATATAGATACCAACACATGCATACACCGACATATACACACACAAAAGCTCACTGATATATACACTCATACAGGCACTCACACAAGTGATTTTTTTTTGTAATTTTTTTTTTTTTTAAATATATATCCAGCCACCCTCCTGTTAGCTTACATTGTATGTCCAGGAGGGTGGTTTGGAGTCCTGCTGGCTGGTGGTAGTGAGGGGTCTGGAGCAGCTCCAGGAATGCTCCTCTCTGTCTCCCTGCATAACGCTGTCACTTCCTCTCTGCTGGCAGACACTACAGGGGCCCGGTCGCGGTCTTAAAGGATTGCGGCACCCGACCAGGCCCCTGTTCAGCAGTTATGTTTCCCCAGGGCGCTGCAGCACACATTTTGGCAATCTTTCCAAGTCAGTTTTGTGAATGGGGAGTCACTGATTGTGAGCTGTCAGCTGATGCTCTCCGCTAATCTGCAGAGCCCCTGCCTGGGGCCACTCCGCGCTTCCTGAAACTAAAAGTTCAGAATCTGGGTGCTACGTGGGAAGGAGTTGAGATCAGCGCTGGAGTCAACTTTAGAGTTAAACTGTTTAAGAACAGTTTAACCCACTGAGGTAAGTGTGTGCCTGGGGGCCTCCTGTCACCATAAGAACTTAATTTATATTAAATTGTTATGGTGCCTAAACTATTCCTGTTTATTGAAATTAAAATCTGTTTCTCATTTTATTATATCACTTAAAGGGTGCCATCTTGTCCCCTTTGATGAGTAAGAGTGGTGTGGTGTTTTTTTTTTATTTTTTTTTAAATTGGCTTGGATCACATTTTAGATGCTTTCTATAATGCCTATTAAATGTAAGTAGTAAAAGCAAATACAAAAATTATACAAATTGACTTAACGTAACACTCGCATCACCAGAACCTAATCTAAATGAAGGTATTATGGTGCCTGGAGGCCCCACCAGTGCTCCATTATCTGTAGGGGTAAAACTGTTCTAGAATGGTTTAACCCCCAAAAGCTGCTCTGAAAAGTCAGTGTTTACATTTAAAAAGCCTGCAGGGACTGACTATACTTAACAGAACTACAATAAGCTGTAGTTATTCTGGTAACTATAGTGTTCCTTTTAAGGGACACACTAGGCACCATAACCATTTTACCTCACTGAATTATCCATAGTGCATGAAGTCCCCTGGCACTGTTCCTCTCTTCAGTGTTAAGCCATTTTAAGCAGTTTGATGGCCACTGGCTCCCCTTTGCTCTGTCCCCACTGGAGTTGAGACTAAAGCAGTAATTGTATACTTCTTTCTAGCCATAACTATTCCTCTCTGAATGGGAGACTGTCTGAGCTTGTCAGCTGACTGCTTTCAGCCTATCACAGACAGCCATTGTTGCTCAGGCTAATGCTTCCTCACAATGTGTCTCATATTGTGTTGAAAGATTAAAAACAGTTTAGCACTGAATGGAAGAGGGTTCTAGGAGAATCTCTAGAAACTATAACCACCTCAATGAGATGAAGCGTTTATGGTGCCTACAGTGCTAGGTTAGGGTTAATGAGGTTTTAGGGTTAAGTTTAGGTATGCAGTTAGTGCAAGAGTGGGGGGATTCGTATAGGGTTAACTTTAATTACAAAAATGTTATATAGATCTTATGCATATGAGTCATTTAACAATCAGAAATGGTATATGAATCTATCATGAGCAGGGGATGCGTACAAATTACTAGGGATCGACCGATTATCGGTTTTACCTATATTATCTGCCGATATTCTGTATTCTTGAAATTCCACACTGAGGAAATGGAGGGTTAGAGTGAAGATCAGAAAAAAAGTGTTTTAGGCAGCATATGAGTGGGAATGTACCTTTTGAAGAACATTTGTGGAAAAAGTTATATAAATCTTAAAGGATCATTATAGTGTCAGGAAAACAAACCTGTTTTCCCGACATTGTCATCCTTGGGGGACACTCACCCTTAGGGTCCCCCTCCCGTGGTGCTGAAGGGGTTAAGACCCCTTCAGCAGCTTACCTGGTGACCTCTCCTCCCCCGCCGTCAGCTCCAGAGTGGAGCGGAATGCTAATCCGCGGCAACAGCTGTGCGCGCATTCTAACCATCCATAGGAAAGCATTTCTCAATGCTTTCCTATGGACATTCTGCACGCTGGATGCGAATTTCGCATCTAGCGTTGCAGAAGTGCCCCTAGCGGTTGTCAGGAAGACAGCCACTAGAGATTGGATTAACCCTGCTATGTAAACAATGGCACTTTCTCTGAAACTGCTATGTTTACATGTGATGGGTTAAAACCTGAGGGACCTGGCACCCAGACCACTTTATTGAGCTGAAGTGGTCTGAGTGACTATATTGTCCCTTTAACAGAGAACAGTTCCTGATAGTTTTTTTTTTTTTTTTGTTAGCTTGAGAGCACTGATTGACACCTGTAGGAGAAGGCAGTGTCGCTCTGACAGCCAGGGAGGTGTCTCCTACTTGATATATAAAGGTGTTAAATTCTCAAACAAATCTGCTCATTTATAGGCTGCCATTAAAATGGGATAAGGGTAGCTGGAGTTTTTTTTTTATTTTTTTTATTTTTTTATGTGAGTGGAGGTGTCCTTTAATGCCAGCATAAATTACAGCAACCTAACCTTCTAAAGGGGGTTGGCTGCGTGAGAAAAATCTTCTGATAAATGGGCTTCGGAAGCACATTTATTGGGCATAGCTGAGATTGCATAGAGTGGTAAAGCTCTTGTATAAGGGGTTTCTCTCCATGCATCTCAGTCTGCCATCAAGGGACTCACATGGAGTTTTTTAATTTAAATGTTGTTTTTTGTTAGTTTTTTGCAGTCCAGCAGCAAATAGAAATTAATTTGCATTATCAGATGATCAGTAACACCATTTGGAATTCAGAATGGTTGTGCCATGTGTATTGGTGAGGGAAAGTTTGTGAAGCCTTCAGAAATAATTGTACCTCAACTTAAAATCCAGTCTGATCTTTATCTGAAAGGAACACTATAGGGTCAGGAACACAAACTTGTTTTCCTGACCATATAGTGTTAAAAAAAAAACCCTTTGCCTCCATTTAAAAAGAATGAAAACTCACCTTTATTTCAGTGTTCCACTTGGCTGAGATAATCAAAATGGATGAACTCAGCAAATCCAATGCATTTCCTCATAGAAATGCATTGACTCAATGCACATGCACAGCGTGGAGACGCTGAATGTCAGTAAAGGAAGTACCTTAAGTGACCTAGGCAGTGGCCCCTAGAGGTGTTCTAGGCAGTAATGTAAATTCTGCATTTTCTCTGCAAAGGCAGTGTTTACATTTTAAAATGCCTGCAGTGCGTGTGTCTTATCAGTGAGAGTGTGTGCATATGTGTCTGTCTGTCAGTGTAGTTTGTGCATATGTGTCTGTCAGTGAATGTGTATGTTTAGGTCACCGAAAAGGCAGTGCTTACATTGAAAAGCCTGCAGGGACAGGCTGTAGACAGCAGAAAAACTACATTAAGTTGTACTTGTTCTGGTGACTATAGTGTCCCTTTAAAGGGTTAGTCCAATCATCACAACCACTACAGTCTAATTATTTGATTCTCCGCGGTCTTCGATACTCCATGGTGGTTTGTTTTGACGCATTTACGGTTTCTGTGGAAGCTGGATGCCGTGGCCATTCACATTCATTGGATAAGAGCATTAGCTGATCACTCTCAGCCAGGGATTGACATTCTGTGCAATTATTTAAAAACAGCTGGGCTGCCTAATTACTCCCCAATGATGCTGCCCGAGGTGGACTTACGTGCAACATTGATGCAATTATATTTACACTGAATTAATGAAGGCCATTCTGAAGGTTTCACTAACTCTTTCTGTTGTGTATTCTTGGTGCACCACAGCCATCAAATTACAGCAAATGAGAAACAACTGAAGTATGAATGTGTTCTTTGGTGCTTGTTTCCAGGATCTGTACACACATACACTGCTGAACAAATCTAGTTTCTGGGTTTTGACACGCTTGTGTGGATGTGAAAACCTTAAAGGATTACTCCAACCACCATGACCGCTTCAGTAATATGATATATAATATGCTTAGTGTTTAGCTAATGGAGGTTTAAGAACTCTGTGTTAGTGTTTTTATATGTTGATTAGATTGGAAAATTGTATTGTAACATTTTCTGAATTGTATAAGGGGTATATTTCTTTTGTGTTGTGTGTATTTTCTGCAGCAATATGTTGGAAGACTAACTTTCCTCTTGTATTGAGTTTATTAAAGGCACACTCTAAGCACCAAAACAACTCTAGCTTAAAGGAACACTATAGGGTCATTAACACAAACCTGTATTCCTCACCTTATAGTGTTAAAACCACCATTTAGGTGGCTTGCCCAGCCCTTTCCCCTCAGAAAGGGTTAAAACATACCTTGTATCCAGCTCTGCATGGGTCTGTTGGCGCTGTCCCCGCACCATACGCCTCTTTTGCTGACATCATTAGAATTGATTATCTCAGCCAATCTAATGCTTTCCTACACAGGCCTGAGCTAAGCAACTAGGACAGGGGTAGACAACATTCGGCACTCCAGATGTTGTGGACTACATCCCCCATAATGCTCTTACACCAATAATGCTGGCAAAGCATCATGGGAGGTGTAGTCCAAAACATCTGGAGTGCCGAAGGTTGGCTATGCCTGAACTAGGAAGTAACACAATTGGCTGTCTGCAAGGTTAATTTAAAAAAAAATGCCAAATTTATTGAAATCTGTGAAATGGGGAAAATAAGAGGGCACACACTTTAGAAAGCTAGGAGTCATTCTCACGTTTTAGTTAATAACCCTGTAATCCATTCATTTTATTTTCAGAAAGATAATTCTTTTTTTATATATACATATGGATTTGGGGAAAGTACCTTTTCATGGAAAAAGTACCTAATTGCCCAATATTTGTGAGGATTAAAATCAAAGTATTCTTTTTATAAATATTTACGTCTGATGTGATCAAAGTTATTGCTCAAGCAACTGAATGTGAAACTATTTGGTGAGATGCCTTATATATGTTTTTCTCTCCTGTTCTTAATGTTTACCAAATGTTTGCATTCTTGCAGTGGGAGGGAGCCTGGGTTCTTGTGAAAGTGACTCTGGGAACTATGAGTTTCCAGAAAACTCTTAGCAAAGGATTAAAATAAATCTTATTTCAACACCAATAGTAGGAAATAACTCCTATTCTTGCCTTGTGTGGCTTTTAGTTTTTGAATATAAATATATATAAAGAGGCGTTATAAGTTTGTGTGTGTGTGTTTATGTATGTGTGTATATAATAGTATAACATTTCAGCCATCAATTGCTTGTATGCATTGTGCACAACATGCATTCAGTGTGGGGGCAATCTATGCACCATAGCCACTACAGCTTCTTGTAGTGGTTATACTGCAGCATCACCAATTCTGCAAGTTAAATAAGCTTACTTGCAAGCAGCAGCACAGTAGTATGCTCATGTGGCTGAACAGGGAAGTGATGCGTCTCATATTAAGTCCCTGGTAGGGGAGTATAGGCTGGCCAGTATGTAAAAGATAAGATAACAGGGAAAACTCGCTAGCAACATAACCACCATCATTCTCTTTTACAGGGTTATTCACTAAAGAGAGTATTCAAGTGGATTTCACATTTTAGATCAAAATAGCCAAACTGGAAACATTCTCTGAGTAAATTATGCTTTCAGTTCGGCTACTCTGGCCTTAGATTTGAAATTCACTGTGTGTGTGTGTGTGTGTGTGTGTGTTTTTCCAACCCTAAGTCAGTAGGTTGTCCAAACTAATTTTATATCGCCTTCACTTGTTTTTGTTATCACTCATACAGACCTAAAGAAACCTACTGTAGCAGGTAGGGAAGCGGGGGAAAGTTAAGCATTCATCTGAATTTACCAGAACCTCATAAAAGGAAATTTACAGACTTATTCTGTAGCATCCTCCAGAGCAGAAGGGACTCCTTAATCCACCACAAAGTCCCAATGGCCATGAGCTCAAATATGATCATGATTTTTTTTAAATTTCATTAAGGACCACTATAGTGCCAGGAAAACATACTCGTTTTCCTGGCACTATAGGGTTTCTTGGTCCCCCCCTCCCGCTGGGCTCTAGGGAATGGAAGGGGTTAAATCTTACCTGTTTTCCCTCGGCGCAGGGAACTCTCCTCCTCCTCCTTTTCGCCGTCATCGGCAGAATGCACATGCGCGGCATTTAGCTAGTCCATATAAAAGCATTCTCTGTGCTTTCCTATGGACGCTGGCGTCTTCTCACTGTGAAAATCACAGTGAGAAGCGCCTCTAGCGGCTGTCAATGAGACAGCCACTAGAGGCTGGATTAACCCATAGGTAAACATAGCAGTTTCTCTGAAACTGCTATGTTTACAGCAGAAAGGGTTAATCCTAGATGGACCTTGCACCCAGACCACTGGTCTGGGTGCCTGTAGTGGTCCTTTAACCTATCCCATTTATTGTACACTGCATGATGGAAACTCATATAGACCTGTAACATTTTCACAAACCACTTTAAGCAGCGTTGTCTATTCAGTGACTGCTCTAATAATACAACATGACAGAGTAAGCATTTTAGTTATAACCAGATGCCCGAATAAGGCCGTTATTATTCTTGGCTTTTTACTTAAAGATAAGGTAATTGGATAGGAACCTCATGTCAATGTAAGCATCTGGTTAATTTAATTCTCGTCTAAAAGTCTTCCTCGTGGGCTTGCATCACTACTTTGGTCTTTCTGCATATTTTAGCCATCAAAGGGATTTATTTAAAAAAAAAAAAAAAAACTCCATAATCACTTTTTTTTCTTTTTCACTCCAGCTTTATAAATAGTGCATGCCAATATCATCTCTCACCTTAACTACTGCAGTCTGTGTCTTAGTGGTCTTACGCGTTCTCAGCTGGCTCCGTTACAGTCTATAATAAATGCGTTGGTGAGGCTCATCTTCCTGTCTGCTTGCACCTTCCATGGCTCCCCCCCTGTCAGTCCTTACACTGGCTTTGCATGAGATTTAGCTCTCAATTTTAAAGTTCTGCTTCTTCTTTACAAATCTATAACTGTAAATAACGCTGCTCCTACCTATAATTATCAATATGTCCCATCCAGGCGCATACACTCTGCCAAAGATCTGCATCTATTCTCTGTTCATACTTGCACCACCGACGGCCGCCTTCAAGACTTCTCTAGGGCTGCACTGTTCTTATGGAACTCCCTTCCTTGCTCTTTTAGACTCTCACCCAGTCTTAGTTCCTTCAAAATATCATTAAAAACTTACTTCTTTTAATAAAGTATATCAGTTGAACTGTTAATAGATAGAAACATAGAATGTGACGGCAGATAAGAACCGTTTGGCCCATCTAGCCTGCCCAATTTTCTAATTACTTTCATTAGTCCCAGGCTTTATCTTAAGTCTAGGATTGCCTTATGCCTATCCCACGCATGGTTAAAATCCCTCACTGTGTTAACCTTTACCCCTCACCCTTTAGAATGTAAGCTTGCTTGAGCAGGGCCCTCAGTACCATCTCTCCTGTGCATCCATTGTCTTGTTGCAAATACTTCTGTTAGTTCACCTATTGTACAATGCTGCAGAATTTGTTGCCTCCCCACAGTTCCTGCGGAAATAAACCCAGGGCTATCCTGTCCCTCGCTGCAACTTCGCTCTTCCTGCTGGAGCTCACCACTATTGATGAACTCCCGGCCAATCCGATGCTACTTATAGGGAAGCATTTTGACGCAGAGCACAAATCTGGCAATCTTGCTTATAGGGAAGAGCACACATCCAGCTGTCTGACCGCAAGAAAGGTGCAACCAATTTCTCGTAAATTTGTCTCTGTTCTAAAGAAGAGGGGTGGGGGAGATCACTTCAGCAAGCTGTGTGTGGATTGCTTTCTGTGTCCAGAGTCTGCTATATTTGTGACCATTTATTAAAGTGCCGATTTCAATAGAAATCAACACTTTTATAATAGGTGCAAAAACACTTCCCTGGCTGTTACACAGTCAGATATTCTTCCCCTTCCCTTAGCATCACACAGTTAATAGAAGTGTTCCTTTAAGCAAGCTAAAGTGCTTTAGGGGTTTGGACTATTTCTTCAATCCCATCATGTTTATACAGTAATATGGTTACTATTGAGAGTTTCTATTTATTTTAACTTGGCTGCATTTGTTTGTTTATAAACATGCATTATTACTGTTGCCAAATCTTTTTCTTTTTACACGTTCTTGGTAGATGTACTTTTTCATGGTGTCAAATGGATCATTTTAAATGGCTGCCTTTTTGGTATGTAGCATTCATATGCTGGTTGAATAAAATAAATAAAAGACACATAAAATGGATATTGCAAGCTATATGTATTTATAACGTTAGCGAGCCACTGGTGCTATTTAGTTTCAGGATGTAGAAACGGAAAATTTTAAACTCTCCTCCTATCCTGTGGTGGTCTTATAGCACCCACTACTCCTCTGTCTGCTCACATCAGCCAGACAGATGATCTCCATCTCTGACAATCAAGTTTTACCATTAATAATAGTAAAAGGAACACTCCAAGCACCCCCACTACAAGAGTACCCTGGTGTCCCCTTACCCATTGACTTTATACCTACGGTCTGCCAGGTTCCTAAACCTGTCTCCACTACTTATGACAGAGAGACAGAATCTCAGAAGCAAGAACTTGCATTCATTTTCCTGAGCTAATCTCTGAAGTGGATATACATTGATTTTGCTGAAAATACTGAATTTATAACTTTTGTTTCTTTTTTTTGATTGATTTCTTATACAGCCACAGACATTTCCTGTTGCTTTCATGACATTACACACTCCACTTCCCTTAACAAAACCACTATTTAGTAATCTACCCCAATTAAAAACATGCATGCATTTAAATATGCATTATATCATTGAGGTATATCTAAGAAAACGGCTTGCAAATCTGCAGATCTTTTCTGAAGCCTTAGCTGCCTTCTCCCCCTGAGCAGATTTTCTGTGTCTGTGCAATCACAGACTACTTAATGCAGCTCATTGTGTATTTAAAAGGCAGGTGCTGTGAACAATGGCCTCTTGAGTTTAGCTCCTCTGAGCTGAACAACCAATAAGTAACAGGATCGTTTGTGACATCCAGGGGGTGTAACAAGGTTAATTTACAAAAGTGCCAGATTCAATTGAAAGCTGTGCTTGTTGTTTTTTGATGGAAAAATAGAGGACATACTGTTCACACATAAAGCACTTAAGGAAGCTAAAGTGCATTAGGTGTGTGGAGAGTTAATTTTAAAGGACCTCTAAAGTTCCCAAGATCACTTTATCTCATTGAAGTCATCTGGGTGCAGTGGTCCAGTAGTTTTAACCCTTAAATGTAAAACATTGCTGTTTTTGTAAAAATGCCAATGTTTACATTGAAGGGTTAAATATATCTCTAGTGGCTGTCTTCTTGACTGGAACTTGCTCAAGAATTCGGTTCTTAAATCAAATGTTGATGCAAATGCTGCCGCACATGTGTATCTCCAATCCAGTGCTTCTTTACGAGAAGTTTTTGGGATGGAGGGGATCACAGAAGGAGTCACCAGGCATGCTGATTTCTTCAGTGGAGGAGTATCATCGATGGAAATGAGAAGGGAAGTTTAATTTTATATTATAAAGGGAGGTGAAAAGTGAAGGGAACATATAGTACTGAATCTGAGGGAAATAAGTGTTCTTTTCAGGGGTAGAGATTCCATCTAAGAAATGTTATTGAGTTATGCCTGGTACACACTGTACATCTTGGTCTTTTGTCACTAAACAGTCAGTAGTCGAGAGCTGTTGATAGCCCAAATTCTGAAATTCTGCCTCTGTTAATCACCTTTATTGGTATAAGAAACAGCCCACAAAAAGAATTTGACAAAAAAACTAGCACTCATTAGGGTATTAATGACTCAGTATATAATTTTTTGTGAAATCATCAATTTTTCGACATACTCAACTGTTTATGGTGCACGTGAAAAATAAAATAAAAACAGACATCTGTGACTTTGCACTTTCAGATTTGGTGTAAAACCGTTGAGTCACAGTGAACAGAAAATTTGCTTTTCTGTATAGTTCTCTTTTTTTTTTTTTTTTTTTTTCATGTGTCTGCAAAATAAGAATGGTCTCTGTTATGAAACAGACATCAGTTTCCTGGTTTGATCTATGTGCCCTATTCCAGTAGACATTAATGTAAGGGTGTCAACCAAACATTTATATAATCTTATTATTAAATATTATCCTGTCATGAACACCAACATACTCACACACTAGCCGTTAGAGTGTACACATTAGCACCTTGAATCTACTCTGTGCTGTTAGAAGGGCTTAGACCTGCAGAAATTTGTTTAAAAGTGGTGTAAGAAGTCTCTCAACTCTCAATCAGGCAGCCAGAATGCCTAGTTAGCACAAACACTGGAAGGTAAAATACTGCTGGAGGAACACCTCTTATAGTTATGTGCAGAGCCTGATTACCCATTAGGTGGCCAAGGCGGCCAACTAGGATGTGGGCCCCTGTCTGAGCCTTGCGGTTCTGGTGCTCTGAGAGGGAGTCAGAGTGCAGGCACCGGGTTTTCCACAGAGTGCTGGACTGGAAGGACTGCGGCTGCACTGGTAGACCATCAAGGATTGTATTTGTGCCCTCTCCTTGCCCAGGACAAAGCAGGAGTGAGGCAAATGTTATATATAAAAATGCATTAGTGTGTCAAGACTCTATTTAACATTCTGCACAGATACTGTCACATGTAACCTTACAGTACAGTAACCAAACCAACTTTAGCTTAATGAAACAGTCTTTGTGTATAGATCAGGCCTCTTTAGTCTAACTTCTCAATTATCTGAATAGGTTCAGCTTAATTGACTCACACTCAACAGGCAAATAGTAGTGCTGTGGCACAAAATTTTGAACCATATCTTAGTGAGTGCCATGCGCTATAGTGCATGAACTCAAAGCACCCTTGACTTGGACTGGCCCGTCTTCTATCTTAAGAAAAAAAAGAAGAGGAAAAAAAAACACACAAAGGTACAGTGCCAGTTTAACCCCTTAAGGACCAAACTTCTGGAATAAAAGGGAATCATGACATGTCACACATGTCATGTGTCCTTAAGGGGTTAAGCATGGTTATTTTTTGCTGTGTCACATTTTAGTCTTATTTTGCAGAAGTGAGATTAGATTACCTCTCACTTGACTTCAGTTTTTGCTGAGCCTTGCTGTTCCACTTTACTCTCACTGCCTTTGCTGAGTCCTCTTTTTTTCATAACTGAAATTTTAGTTTATGCAATTCCCATCTGATGGATGCTATGTGCCACCTCCAAATAGAGATCCACTACAGGCACATGTGCTATAAGATCAGTATATGTTGATATTAAAGAGACATTCCAGGCACCATAACAATGTTGTTGAAATTAAGTAGTTATGGTGCCAGAAGCTCCCTGGAGTTGGCTCTCCTTAATAGATTAAACTGAGAATAGTTTAACCTCAAAGTGTGTGTTCCAGCGCCAAATCTCCTTACCTCCTGTTTGTTTTCTCAAAATTCTTAACACTGAAGGCTCTTGCGGAACCGGACAGCAGTGCCGCTGATTGTGCGTGGTCAGCTGATGCTCTCAGCCAATCAGTGACTCCCCATTCATAAAACTGGCTTGAAAAGGGTAAGTTGCTTTTGAAGCCAGTTTAATAAATGGGGAGTCAATGTCTGAGATCATCAGCTTACCACTCTCAGCTAATTGGCGGCAGCGCAGTCCGATTATTCTCAAGAGCCTTCCGGTTTAAAGATTTTGAGAAAACGTAAGGACCGAGTCTGGATGCAATCCCCCTGTTTGTCAATTTCAAACAGTTTGAGTGGGTTGACAAAACTTAGGCTGTCCTGGTACCTACAGCCTGACTCTTCTGCTGTCCGCAATAGCACACCCAATTTGTATGTTTTTTTTTAGTTGTTTTTTTTTATGTAACTTAAATTAACAGTTCATTCCAGCCTTTCTTGTTAAACTAACATAATATTACATCAAACTACTTGGTGGGTTTAAGCTAAGCTATTACTTACATGTTTTGTGTTTTACACAATCTTTTCATATATATTTTCACATTGTATACATTGCAAGTATGGCTTGGATTTCCTTGCTAGGACAGGTTTCATATTGTCTTCTTTTTCTCAGGTGTGCTGGCTCTATGGACACTAATTACACACATCATGTATGTTCAAGACTTCTGGAGGACATGGCTGAAAGGACTGCGTTTCTTTCTCATTGTTGGGATCTTCTTCTTCATTCTAGCACTGGTAGCATTCATAGCATTCCTTGCTATAGCCATATCTCATAAACAGTGTAAGTATCCCATGTGTCTGCACAGAGGTACGCTAACCAAAAATGCAAGGGGTGCAATGTGCCCAGTACTTTCCTTGTATCTGCAATAAATGTATTTTGTTTACTGCAACTGTCTTAGTCATTCCACAGCTGCTTTGTCATGCAATGGGCAGATGGCCACTATACTTAGAATGGTGAAAATCTAAGCTAAGCAAGTGCCTAAGCCACATCTAAGCACAGAAGTTGTCCTCTTAGTTAATCTCTTGATGACCGGTAGCTGCTAGAACCGGGATTAAAATCTGAATACGTACATTTCAAAGTTAATCTTAGTTCGTGGCTGCAATGTTTAGGCTGGCGGTGGGCACTTTCGTGGCTGCATGTGTTTGTAGCTGCTTCATCCAGCCTTAGCTAAGTAGCTGCATAATCTAATGCAGTAGTGGACTTAGAGGGGTACATATTGCTGGATTGGGCAGAGGTATGATGTAATATCTCACCTCTTCCATGATTGTTCTTTTCAACTAGGTGTGCAGGTTTCCACCAACACTAAAGGGAATATATTAAATACTCCAAGTACCGTAAGTTAGACAATGTACCTGGAGTCCATTTCTTTACAAGAGTTGAAAGCTCACTGTAGTGAGCTAAAACTGATACGGGGCTTAGCTCTTAGCTGAAAGCAATCAGCTGAAGCTCTCACTCAATGAGTTGGCCTTGCATGGCAGGGTTTAGCACAGAAGAGCTAATGGAAGCTCCATGCAGGAGTTACCAACATCTCAAATCGTAAGCAAACAGATTGACTAGACACTCCGGGATCTGTGCCAGATCCAGGAGTGTATAGTCAATCTGTTTGGTGCCCATAACCACTAAATAGGTGTCTAGTGTTTGTTGCTTGGTGTGTTCCTTTAAATCATGTTAAATAAAGTAAGTCAGTAAGCACCTGAGATAGAACCAGTGTATGATTCTCAGTATAGGGTTGGGGCATATAAAATAGGCGTGTAAAGAGAGGAGACAGTATAGCCATACCCACATGGTTGAAAAAATAATTCTGTATCCAGGTTCCAGTGACACTTTTCACTTGCCGCTGCAGGCACAGAATGTATGTTACCTCAGAAGGAGAGCCATCTGTGTTGCTAAAGCAAGAAGTGAGACAACATTCTCAGTACTGTGTTCCAGTTCTAGATTACCATGGCAACTTGGAACCTTGGGTGTGTTAAGGCCTAGAATAACAGGCAAGCTGTTCCTATATTCCAACACTTTCAAATGCAAATTCAATTTATTATTGCATAAAATAACTTGCTGAATATGGACATTGTTAGTGTGGAAAAAATCGCTAAAATTACTATATGCTGTCCCTTTATATACTCTACTGGACTGGATCCTCTCTTACCAATTGTGTATTGCCAGATTTATTTAGTGATCCTGTTTTTATTTGTGCTTGGAAATTAGGCCTTCAGAACTGTCCCCAGTCTTTTCCAAGTGATCTAAATAATTGCCTGTTATACTGATCAGAGTTGGGCCTCAAATAAGCTTTCCAAATGATTTACCTGCAAAAACTCCTGTAGACTTTAATGATTTCTGTAGATAAATAATTTGTGACGTTTTTCTAACAGTATCGAATCTTTGGAAAGTTTACCAAATCGATGCCTTAATTCCTCATCAGAACATAACAATCACTATTTATGGTTTTACTACAACCACCTGATTTCCTGCAGGTCTGTAATATCCATGTCCAACTACAGGAGGTTGGACTTGGCGTAACCCACCTGCCATGCATTTTTTTTTTTTTTTTTTTAAAGTCCCCTCCCTGCTTCTTACTTACCTTCCCAGCAGCACCCTGTGTAAATCTCACGAGTCTCGCAGCCGTCAGAGCGTTACCAGGGCTCCGTGCGTCATGCAGGCCGTGAGATTTACACAGGGAGCTGCTGGGAAGGTTAGTAACCGCTTGCTGCTGGCCCCCTCTGTACTTTCCATGCCACGGACCACAAGGGAATACTATATCCCCCTTCCCTGGCCAAGTAAGATAGGGGGGTGGGGGGAGAAGAGACTAAAAAATATAAGAAAGAAAAAAAAGAAATTAAATAAAAAATGCCCCCTCCCTCAAATTACATACCTACAGAAACACACACACTGCATTATATATACACACTACACAAACACACTGTGTATATAATGCAGTGTGTGTGTGTGTGTGTGTGTATAATGCACACTACACAAACACACTGCATTCACTATACACACACTACACCTACACAAACACACTGCATTCATTATATACACACTGCATCCAATACACAACACACACACACAGCTCCCCTGTCTCAACACACTGCATCTACTACATGTGGCATGTATATTTTGTGCATTTACCTTTTCAACATTTTTTTTTTTTTTTAAATGGTAAATGTACAGAATATCTGTACTTTATTGGCTATCAGCCTGAAAGTTCACAGATTATTGGTATCGACTCTAAAAAATCAATATCGGTCGATCCCTAGTTATTACCTGACCTACATTTGGATTTCATATGGATAAACTATCCCATCAAGTGTAAGCTAAATTTGGTGCTCTCTTCATAAATCCGTCTTGCTTCAGTCTTCTGATTAGGAAACTGACAATGAAAATGTATCATTGTCAGTGTATGATAAGGGATGCATTCTGGTTGAATCCTTCTCCCAGTGCAACACCCTGCTGAATGTGTGGCTTGTGTACCCAGGTTTACCATTCCCTCTGTCCCAGCTTGACTGCTTTCTGCACAACAAATATCTAGTATGAAATGGGCTACTAACTGCTCATACTGAATGGTGGCAATGCAAATTGAATCCATTTTCATGTTTCCTATATGGGTTTTAGAACTTTGAGAATTTACCAAGTTGCTCAGTCTATCGAGTTTGTGTTACATTGACACATTAAGTTGGCTCATGGTTCTTCCAATACCTTTTTAAATAAATGTGATTTCAGGGTTTGCATTTTTCTTTCCTGGATGATACAAATGACTGTCTTGTATGAGAACTTGGAATATAGTTGCATGCATTCCAGAACTTTAACAAAGATGGGTAGATATGTAGTGTCCCTCAAGTAACAACTGTAATGACCACTGGTGCACTAGCTGTTACTTCAGGTTCAGGTCTTTAGAAATCTCCACTTCGTACAGTTGAATAAGTTTTATTTTGCTGCATGATACTTGCGCCATATCACCTTCTATATGTAATTGAATAACTGAACAATGAGTATGTATGTCAGTCCTTGTGCATTTCGCAAATGTTTTAAATATTTTTCCCCTCTTTTTTTTTTTTTTTTTGCATATCTAGCCATAACTGATCCAACAAGCTTGTACTTATCCTGCGTATGGAGCTTCATGTCCATGAAATGGGCTTTCCTGCTCAGTCGTTATTCCCACCGCTACAGGAAGGAGTTTGCTGACATTAGCATCCTCAGTGACTTCTGATACAGATTTTGTCTGAGCAAGGAGGGTGTGAAATTGCGAAGGACTTTTTATGTGTATATATGTGTATTAAATTCTTCTTTTGTGGTGCAAATATCCCATGAAGACTCCTGAAGTTAAAACAAAACATACGGAAAATTGGAAGGACATGGCATTGCTTTAACATACATACATAAACTTTTACTGCTGCAAATTTGCTTCTTGTATAACGATGATAATTTTTTTTTTTATATATATATATATATATATATCTTCTTTTTTTTTTATGGGGAAATTGCAATGTTTATCAACAGCAGTAATCATGCACTGCTTGTTTTTGCATACATAATCAGCACAGACACTTTATCTTTTGATAAAACAGACTAACACTGTTATACAAGAACGGACACATCTCGAAAAACAAATGTTCATTTCGTTTACCTTCATCAGCAAACTTTTTAGAAATTGCTTTTATTATGTATTTGTCAATTGTGTATTCTATTTTACAATGTTTATGTATGTGTACAATAATACATTTAAAATATAATATTTTATATTTTTGGAGTCTTAACTTCACTGGGCCGGAAAAATGAATAATATTTTGGTTACACATAGTAGGGCATATGGAGCAGTGTTACGGGTAATACCATATAATGTGTGTTCAAATTGTTTTTAAGCTGCAGTGGAAATCTATGAAGTGCAAGGAAGTCAAGTGGTCAGGAGGATTACTGGTAAAAATAATTCTAGAAAACACAACTTATTTTCCAGCAATAAATGTACTAGTGGAATCTTGGTTCACGCAGTAATGTGCTGTCCTACAAGCTCTGCATTTGAGCTGGTGCAAAGTCCTTGTTTCAAAGCCTAATAATGTTTAACACTTTGGGTGAGAGTGGTTCCAGTTTATGCCACAGAAGTAAAAGAAAACATAACCCACACACATTCCTATATCTTGTGAATATCTTGTTTCTGTTTTTTTTGGGGGGGGAGTTTCACTAAAATGAGCACACAATGAGTGGATTGAATATATTACTATTTAGAACAATGTTAACGTGTATCAGAAAAGGAGAAATAAAAACCCTTCTCAATTACTAGATATCTCAAGGTTAATGAATAACATATTGTTTGCTTTTCTTAGTTAAATAATTATTTATGCTGATGTGGTAAAATCTCATATGTACAAGTCGCCATAGATGGCAAGGAACAGATGATGATGAACTGCATCTTGATCGAACTGTGGCTTTTAACGATTGTTGTATTACAACTCCTCTAGCACTTGGGGACTACAGGTTAACATTGACCCCCAATGCCGGTTTAATTAATAAGTGTAAGAAAACAAAAAGGTACCACTAGGGAACCAAATAACCATGCCCAAGAGGCTGCAAGAGGGGGTAACCCACAACAATTCAATTGGATTACAAAATAGACAAATAGGCCCAAAAAGGGCATATGAGTGCAAAGATGGAGATCCATCCAAAAGATTTAAAAAAATGGTAGAACAACTTTATTAGAAAATGCAACGATTAGAAAAGTTAGAGTAAGAGACCGTACATATGCACATTAAAAAGTCATGAGGTTGTGGTTCATGATGGGGGTTAAACACTGGGTTTAAATTTAAGAAGGTACATATAAACCAACTATTTCACATAATATTGTGGTTATATATTGTACATAAGTGGGTTGTCATTTTAATTATATATATATATATATATATATATATATATATATATATATATATATATATATATATTTTTTTTTTTTTTTTCTTTTTAATTCCACCTGGTATATCACCAGAAGAGTGGTCTCTAATGGTAGGTTTTTTGTTTTAAATAAGTTTTTCAAATCCATTTTTGTGAGACCTTTTGTCTGGCTTTTTGTGGCATCAGGAAATATTTCTGTCCAAGAACTGGGTGAAATGCTTCTTCGGTGAAATGGTTGGTTTATATGTACCTTCTTAAATACAAGCCTAGTGTTTTTGCACCACAGCCTCATGGGTTTTTAAATAGCATATTTACTGTCTCTTACTTTAATTGTTCTAATCATTGCATAAAGTTGTTCTACCATTATTTTAGCTTTTGCAGAGATCTCCATCTTTGGACTCGTATGCCTTTTTTGAGCCTATTTGTCTATTTTGTAATCTAATAATTGTGTTTGTATAGCAGGATTTTTGAGCAAAAAAGGGAAATGCTGCATTTTGGAATGGAGTGACAAAGAGGATGCACTTATGGCTAAAACCAAATTTATTTTAAAAAAAGAATCAGAAAAAAGACAAGCCACATACAATAACAAAGTGCACTCTAAAGTGTAAATTTAAAGAGCTTTAAGGGGAATGTCTAGGTAAAAAAAAAAATGCATAGATTTATTTTATTTGTATGTTGTTTTTTTTATGTGCTTGAGCAATTTAAAAAAAAAAAAAGTTACTAGATAAACAACCAAGTGCCTAAATTCACAACTTTTTTTTGTAGACCTGGCTTGGTTGCAGGTAAGTTGATGCTCCCACAAACACTGTGCTGGGGAGTGTTTGTGCTGGGGAGTATTCAGTCAAATGCATTGTGGGTACATTGAGCTGTCATAGAAAAGCATTGAATACTACATTGCGCGATTGCATGTGGGTGTGTCTGTTAACAAACAGTGAGTTGAGTGACTGCCTGGCACTAGTAAGTGGAGGGATGGAATTGCTCACATATAACTGAGCTCTGATTGTGTTCTAGTGCATAGTTCTAATTAGGGGTTACTGTTTTGCACGGCACCTGGAATGCAGAAATAGGAACTAAAATGACTTTCAGGAACAGGAACCAAGTCAACTTGTCTTAATAGGAATCTATTATTCTATGGCTGTCTGGCCACCACTAGGGAGGTGGTTAGGGCAAAATGGAAACTGCTGTATCTCTAAAACCGACTGTTTTTAAAGTATAAGCGTGCAGGGGAAGGATTCTGCCACCAATACCACATTATTAAACTTAAGTGGTTTGTTGTTTAGGCTGACCTTTTAAGGACCTCCAAAACACACATGAACTGGGAGTAAAACAAAACCTTTTCTCTGTAAATATTGTTTTAGCGAAGGAGTAATTTATCAATGCGAACATGTAGGTTTTCAGTAACATCTTTCAGGGTTACTAACTAAAGTGAGAGTTGTTGAGAATTTAAATTGAATTTCAAATTTACCGCCGACATATGTGAAATAGAAGCATAGGCGACTGAAAGCATTTTTCCAGTTTGGCTTAGATATTCACTTTGAATCCCTGACAATTCTCACTTTAGTTAATAACCCTGAAAGATGTTACTAAAAATCTACATATTGGCATTGATAAGTGACTCCATTGCTAAAACAATATTTACAGAGCACATGGTCAGCCTAAACAACAAACCACTTCAGTTTAATTATGAATCCTTCCCCTGCATAACTGATTGTGTTACTCATTCTCAACTGACAGACTAACCTCGCGTGGGCTATATTCATCCAAATGTGTCGTCAAACTATTTATTCTTTTGTATTCACAAGAATTAGAAGCCATGTTTGTTTATATGTATATATATATATATATATATATATATATATATATTTTTTACTTGTACAAATAATTCTAATATTTTAACAAACCTTTTGCTGTTTGCTTAGAATTAGATCATTCCTCACTTTGAGTAGCAAAGTAAATGTGTCAGGTTGTAAAGAGTGGGTTAAGTTATCATCACGTGTACAAGATTAACAAGATTTTAAATAGCTTGTAGAAGTTAATAGATCAGTTCCTGAGTAGATTTTGCTCGTTGAAGGCATATACTATAAAAAAATTAATAATGTCTGGTATGCGCCTACTGGAAATGTTGGCAAGTAAAAGAATTTTATGCACTGACTTTTTGTATTTTTTTATTTTTCCATGCAATAATGTTAGTATTTGTAAAACAAAGTATGAACAGAACCAAAAGACTAGATAGTGAAGCAAAATCATGATTTGCTGTTAATTTTTTTTCCTGTTGGTTACAATGTGCCAAATCTCCTTTGGTTATTTCTTTAAAGCAGCTCTGTCACCGACTGGGGTCTTTTCATAAATTTACAGACTGTTGACCGTAATATTGCCGCTGGTTGCCATCAGGGCGAGGAAAAGGTGAGATTTACTTACCTTAACCTGTCCCTCGCCGGCAGTTTTCCGTCTTGTCCTCTTCATATATTGTCGCTTCAACTATCAAGAGCTGACGTCATCTCTGTATGCATGCAAGAGAGTACAGCGTTGAGGTCTTCCGGAACAATAGCTTTTCATTCCTACAGATTTCATTTGAGACAGCTGGGGGGGAAATGACAAGCTTGATTAAAAAAAGTAGCACCACTGTTTTGTTATACTGAGGCAAAGTAGTCCCTACTACTTTAGTCATTGTTGCTGCGAGTGGTGGAACTACCACTGTCGCTGCTGTGACTGGGCCCGCCACTCCAGGGGGCCCAGCTGCCCTGTGGATCCCTGCGGCTGGGTGCCCACCTTCATGCCTTGTGGCCCCTGAACACGCAGCCCCCCGGCGGTTCTACTGCGTGGGCCGGTGCCCCATGCTGTTAGAGCCACCTGGTGGCAAAGAATTACCTGAGCGCTGTCACTCCCCCCACCTTACACACATCGCTGAGCGGGAGGGAGTCTGCGTGGGAACTCTGACTCCCATCAGCCTGAGCCACCACTGGACCCAAGGGAAGTCTGTCACATATTCATCCGCTTATAGAAATGTGGTTAATGACATTTACTGTCCACACAGGAAAAGTTGTGCCGAGCAGCAACCTAATCCACAGAAGGGTTAATGCTGAGCAGTAATTGTGCAAATGAAACCTGGTGTCATGTATTCATCCGCTTATAGAAAATGTGGTTAATGACATTTACTGTCCACACAGGAAAAGTTGTGCCAAGCAGCAACCTAATCCACAGAAGGGTTAATGCTGAGCAGCAATTATGCAAATGAAACCTGGTAACTGACTTTGGGGTCAAAGGCCGGTTACAGCCTATCAGAACTAAAGGAGGGGTATTTAGGCCCAGTTCTCAGCCTGCTCAGTGCCCTGTCGTGATTTCCCTTGTGGTTGTCTGAGAGCGCGTTCCTGTTTATAGTTTTCTACCTGGTTTTTGACTTTGGCTTTGTTTATTGACTTCTCTATATTCTGGTATCCTGACTCCTGGCTTTCCTCATCGCTGTGTCCCTTTCTGTGTTCCCTGACCTCGGCTAGTATTTTTGACTATTCTTTGTACGTTAAATCCGGCCATTCTAAGGACCGGTAATACGTTACTTATTTGTCATCCGTGCTGTACAGTTCTACGTGCTGGATCAAACAGTAATCCTGACATTACGACATGGCCATAGATCCTGTAGAACTGTGTCAGCACATAGCTGCTTGCGAGAGGAAATTAGAGGAGAATGATCACCGCATGGATCAATTCACTCAGGCTTTAAGTACGCTTCTCGCTAGAACTGAGCATCTGCAGCCTGCAGCGTCTCCTCCTATAGCACCTCTACCCTGTGTACCTCCACCCACTGTTAATAGGACTCCTAGCATCTCCTTATCACCATCCCTACAGTTTGATGGCAATATCCAGGAATGCAGGGGTTTTCTTAATCAGGTGGAGTACCATTTTGAGGCCTCACCAGGGTCATTCCCCATGGACAGAGCAAGAATTGGTTATCTAATGAATCAATTAAAGGGCAAGGCCCTTGCCTGGGCTAATCCGTTGTGGGAGAGTAATCGGAGCATAGCTCATAATTACCAGGAATTCCTTGCCGAATTCAAGCTCACGTTTGAGCCATTGGGTAGAGAGGATGACGCCTCCACTGCCCTAATGCACATCAGACAAGGTAACCGGTCTATCTCGGATTATGCTATTGAATTCCGTACCTTAGCTTCCGAGGTAGACTGGACTAACAATGGGTTAATCTCAGCATTCAAAAAGGGTCTCTCAGAGACTATACTAGATGAGATAGCCGCTAAAGAATTACCTAAGAGTCTTAACGAATTTATTACGTTTGTCATGCATATTGATAATAGGTTAAGACTCAGAGAAGTCACCAGAAGCAAGACCAGACGTACGGCTATGTCCCTAGCACCTCAATTCTCTAAACCTGTTTTGTCTAACCTCCCTGTACAGTCCGAACCCGAACCTATGCAGTTGGGGGTCACTAGACTGTCAGAGGCTGAAAAACAGTATAGGAGAAGGGAGGGGTTATGCCTATATTGCGGTAGAAAGGGACATATGATAACTAATTGTCCAGTGCGTCCGGAAAACTTCCGCACCTAAGAACCTTAAGGGGACAGATCTTAGGTGTGATGGAGTTGTCCTCTAACAAAAACAAAAGTAGATTCCTCCTTGAGGTATCTATTTCCATTGATAACAAGAAGTTTTCTTGCAGTGCCCTAATGGACTCAGGTGCTGCTGGAAATTTTATTGATGTACAGTTTATTAGGGGTAATGAGATACCGGTCAGGGAGAGACCTACGCCGCTAGCTGTAGAGGCTATTGATGGTAGACCACTCACACAACCGCTTATAACCCACGAAACTGTCCCTATTACGATCTCCATTGGGGCCTCCCATAGGGAGGAGATGACGTTTCAGGTTATTACTTCTCCATCATGTCCTATCATATTAGGGTTTCCGTGGCTGAGTAAGCACAATCCCTATATTGACTGGGCTAATGGGGAGATATTAGAATGGGGTAAAGAGTGTATGGGGAGATGTATAAAACCAGTACTAAAGAGATTGGATACTACTGACCTTCCCACTACCACTCCCCAAACTCCTGGAGTTCCCATACAATACCGAGAACTTCAGGAGGTGTTTAACAAGGCTCAATCTGATGTATTGCCTCCCCACAGAGCATATGACTGTGCCATTAACCTGTTTCCAGGCGCTATGCCACCTAAGAGGGCAGTTTATGCCTTATCTCCCAGGAGAGTAAAATAATGGAGGAATACATCAAAGAATCCTTGAGCAAAGGGCACATAAGAAAGTCATCCTCACCAGCTGGTGCAGGATTCTTTTTTGTTGAGAAAAAGGGTGGTGAGTTACGCCCTTGCATAGACTACAGGGCACTTAATAAAATCACTGTAAAAAATGCATACCCTATTCCACTCATTTCCGAATTGTTCGATAGACTTCAGGGAGCTAAAGTATTTACTAAGCTTGACCTTAGGAGCGCTTACAATTTGGTTAGAATTAAAGAGAATCATGAGTGGAAGACGGCATTTAATACCCGTAGTGGACACTATGAATATCTGGTAATGCCATTTGGGTTATGCAACGCCCCGGCCGTATTCCAAGACTTTATAAATGATGTACTCAGGGAATTCATTTACTCATTTGTCTTGGTTTATTTGGACGATATTTTGGTGTATTCCCCTGATCTTCAAACTCACCACTCCCATGTGAAACAGGTTCTGCAGACGTTGTTGAAAAATAAACTTTATTGTAAATTAGAAAAGTGCATATTTGACCAGCCTGAAGTCCACTTTTTGGGTTACAACATCTCTGCATCGGGATTTCAAATGGATCCTAAAAAACTAGAGGCTGTACTACACTGGCCATTACCCTCTGGTTTAAAAGCCATTCAAAGGTTTATTGGTTTTGCCAACTATTACAGAAGATTCATCAAGGGATTTTCTTCTGTAATAGCCCCAATCACAAATATGACTCGCAAAGGGGTTAGTAGCACGGTATGGTCCAAAGAGGCTGTGAATGCTTTTGAGACTCTTAAACAAAGATTTGCCTCTGCGGACATACTAAAACATCCTGACACCAGTAAACCTTTTATATTGGAGGTTGATGCATCCGAGACAGGGGTAGGGGCTGTTCTCTCTCAGAGAGAAAGCCAGGGAACACCATTGCATCCTTGTGGCTACTTCTCCAGAAAGATGTCTCCTGCTGAGCGCAACTATGATATTGGCAATAGAGAACTGTTGGCCATTATTCTTGCCCTCAAGGAGTGGCAACATCTTTTGGAGGGTTCCAAGGACCCCCTGTTGATCATAACCGACCACAAAAATCTGGCATATATAGGGGATGCCAAACGTTTGTCTTCCAGACAGGCTAGATGGTCACTGTTCCTTTCACGTTTTAACTTTCTCATTACTTATAGACCTGGTTCTAAAAATACCAAGGCTGATGCCTTGTCCAGGCAATTTGATAATGAGTCAGCTCCGGAACAGATGACATCTCCTATTATTCCAGCAGAGTGTATTATTGCTACTACTGTCCTCTCACTGTCTTCTCCACTGCTTGGCACCATACTGGAGGCCCAGCCTCAGGCGCCCAGTGGTAAACCGTGTGATAAACTGTTCGTTCCCCTATGTGAAAGGGTTAATATCATGAAAGTGTTCCATGACAATATAACTGCTGGACACCCGGGCATCAATAAGTCCACTGCCGCGATCACTAGATCATTTTGGTGGGATTCACTCAGGAAAGATGTAAAGGAGTATGTGCAGGCATGTTCTGTGTGTGCAGTTTCTAAGGTGACTCATGCACTTCCTTGTGGCCTGTTGCAGCCTCTTCCTGTTCCTGAGATTCCATGGTCCCACCTATCCATGGACTTTATTGTTGAGCTTCCTAGCTCTGCTGGGTTCACTACTATTCTCATGGTTGTAGACCGATTTTCTAAGATGGCTCACTTCATTCCTCTCAAGAAGTTGCCATCTTCGCAAGATTTGGTCCTAATTTTCATACGTGAAATTGTCCGTTTGCATGGCATCCCCCACAATATTGTGTCTGATAGGGGCTCTCAGTTTGTGTCCAGGTTCTGGAGGGCGTTCAGTAAACAATTGGGGATTGATCTCTCCTTCTCCTCCTCCTACCATCCACAGACCAATGGTACAG